ATTGTTGTCAATTTTATTTTACATGAAACAAATATGGCTATTATCTCTTCTCTTTATGTTTAAAAATTAAATTTTTAGTTAAAATCATTGGTAATTTTAGACTTTTAAAAGTTGATTTTACTTATTATATTAAGTTTATTTTATGTTTTAGTTTATTTGTTACTTGGGTGTAATTTCTCATAAGTAGCCTTCTGTCTGCTTGTAGAGTAATATCAAAAAAAAAAAAAAAAAAACAAATGCTAGACAGAAAAACATGTTAGTTCCTAGAATGGTAGGATAAAAATAGGCTTTGTTTTCAATTTAGAATCACTTTTTCTGTCCGGATCTTTACATCTTTCTTTGAATAAATATGTTTTATAAATTTTAATACGATTTTCCCAAGTGTTCCATTAGATATGAGATTTTGTCAGAAATACACTTTGCATGATTTACTCAAAATTTAAAGTTTTCTTTTATTGTTTTGAAAAGATTTTAAAAGAAATGTTTTAACATTAATAAGTTCTTTGAAAAGAATTTATTTGTCAAAAGAAAGAGGAATAAACGAACGAGGAAAAAGTACACAATGGAAAGAATACAACAAATATGCAAAATTATTAAAGCAAAATATGTAATAAAATAGAAAAGATAAAAAATAATATATATATATATTTTTCATTGAGACAAAGAAACTGCTACAGATGGAAAAATAAAGCAGGAAATTTAATTTAAAAGAATTTATGAAGAAAAATACACAAAACACGGTATTCGTAATAAAATATTAATTTTTCTCGAAACTGAATATAAAAGTTATTAAAAGGAAAAATTATTCTTGCGACATATTTTCATACTATTTTAGCATAAACTGTGATAATTTACATCATTCAATGCTTAATTTTATTTTAAAAATATATTTAAGTAATAGGAAATTACGCAATTTTTTGTGTATATGTATCGAGAATTATTGTTCAAATTGCTTTCTAAACTTTTAACTTTTCGAATAAATACCGTTAAGAAATTTCCTCCCAAAATATTACATTTTTAAAGTTGTATAAATGAATCTATAATATAATAATAAAAAAAATACATCTGTGGTTTTTCCCTCTCATCAAGAATGAAAATCTATAATACATTTAATAACAACAAAATCTTATGGAATTTATTTATCTATCAAATTAAATTTATTTCATAAATAAATATTAATAATTAACTATAATTAATTCCACCTTCAGATTTCTTTATAAAGCAAAACATAACAGTATAATTTGTTCTGTTTAACATCTATTAACAACTTTTGTTGCTGTTATTTTTCAATTCACGCATCAAATAATCAATGCAAAGATGGGATAATTGTCAAAGTTAATATTATTTATCATGATAAACTTATTTTAATGAAATAAATCTCTATTCTGATAAAATGTTGACAAATAAAGTATAGAGATAGATATGACCACACAGTGGATATAAGCCTACTGCCACAAGAATCCACATTCGGCCGTTCATAATTTATCATATTTATTTTGGGCATGTATCCCTCGCCTATACTAATATATACAAGTGTCACACAAACTTTTTACTGACAATCCCTCATTTTTAGATAGAAATTTGGTACTATCCTAATTATCTTTAAGGATTACTTGTAATTATCCAATAGTAATGTAATGTAAGGCTACATTGGTTTGCTTTTTTCTGTTTTTATATTGTATTTTATAATTTTTAAAATTGGTAACTAATATTCTGTCAAGATTAAGTGAGGCTAATCTGAGACGGGAGAAAGTGACAAGCCAAACAGGTATTTGAAGCTAAAATTGAAGGGAAAAACCAAAGGGATGTCCTAAATAAAGGTGATTGATAGTGTTAAGGACTTAGAGGAAAGGAATTTAACTTTATCCCAAGCTAAAAGCTTGTCTGTCGATAGGAAATTTTAGAGAAAAGTAGTGGATAAAAGTATGATTTTTCACCATCTTGACCTGTACACCATCTGGGTATCAGCACAAATAGATGGTGATGATGATAAAATTTTTCTCGCAGAAAAAAATCTTTGAAATTCCCTTTTGATGGTTGAAACCTATAGTTTGCACATAATTGATTTAGAATATGATGAGCACTTTTCACTTACAAAACTACTGTTAATCTAGTTTCTACAAGTGACACAGAATAAAGTCTGCTGTTTAGTTAAAATCTATGGTGTGAAGAATTCTGAAGAGTTTCCTGTAAGATAAGTTTCAGCAAAAAATAATTTCATGCTTACACATGAACATTACAAATTTAACTGAACAAGAATTCATGCAAAACCCTAATTAATTCTAGTTAAGACATTTTGGAAAATACTCCGGTAGTTATTTCATAAACTATCAAAAATCTAGGAATAGTGCCAAGGATCTGAGATTTAAATCTCATTTAAAATGACAAGAGAATATGAATGCTCGTTACATAAAATAAACGTGAGAGCCAAAATTAGTGGTTTTGTCGAGAGACAAAACAAAAACCAAAATTGTCAAAGAAAATTAAACTGTTTTTCCACAAACTTATTTCCTTGTTGAAGATGATACATCGAATGTGTCACCCGGAATCTACAACCAAAATTCAACTATTGGATGATTGTAGAAAAACGCCATTCATCTATCTCCATTCATCAAAAAAACCGTTGATTCAGAGGAAAATGACTCCCTCAATCTAGGTAGCTCCAAATTTCAAGCTCTACAAACTTTTAAGGTATTTATCCTGGTGCAAACTTAATGTGAACTCTCTCTCTTGTTGTCAGGGTCATAGTAGTTCCTCTGTATGTCCATATATTAGCATTCGCTAAGCATCTATATAAGGATCATGTATATGTCATATTATTATTATTAGCATCCGCTAAACATCTGTATACAGCTTGTAAATAGTCAATATTGATTAATAAACGGGTGTTTTCTATTATATGATAACTTGTGGAGTGTACTTCTTCTGGTTCTCTCTTTTGCCTCCATTCCGGGTCCGAAAGCCTGCAAACACAACTGCTCGTGCAACGAAATAAGTGGCCAATCTGGTTTCTGTGTCTGTCCGTAAAGACACAGTGGTGTCATCCTGACAAGGTGCCAAAGAGGCCCTGCGGTCACATAAACGTTATGTTCTCCAGATTAGCATTTACGTATGTTTTTCAGCGTGTAATACGACAATCTCAATAATATACATTTAAACAAAATAGAAATCCTCATTAAGAACAGCATCGGCATTAAGAAAGAATCGAAGAAAATAAATTTGAGACATACGAGAATCTCATTCTTATAGCATCATTTTAATTAATTAATTAAGTAAACAAACTAAATTATAGAAAATAATTTTAATTAATAAAATATTCAAAAGAACAACAC